TGAACAAGGACTGTGTGTCCAGGTTCGACCTGTATAACAAAGGTCGAGTCAGATCTAATAACAAAAGCAACAAAGGTTTCAATTTTTCAAAACATTCATAAAATTAGGAAAAACGATGGCCATCATTAGGCATGCAATTGTAGAATGAAGATATGTTGAGATTAACAAAGCACTTCACTTTTCACACTTAGCTGTGATGCTTTTCTTATTTCCGCAGACTGTCCATCATAACGGAAACAAGAAGCGTACCACAAATGAAAAAGTGAAAGAGAAGGAATGGCAGTTAGACCTGGTCCCACAGCTGTCACGACTCCACAAGCCTCGACACCTGAAATCAGTTTTGGTTTATACATAAATAGGGTAACTAGTAACTACATCTGCAGTGCCCGATAAAGTTTCAGATGTATATATACACAATCAAAATATCGGTGGGAACTGTTATCTGATTTCATGCTCTGCATTCTTGTTTTTAAGTTCATCCCAATCATTCCTAACCATTTGTCGAAATTTATACTCACCAGAGAGGTTACCCAAAATTTTTAATAAAATTTGGATACAAGATAATCTTGGTTGAAATGCATCTCCATAATCTCAAAAATGAATTTTATTCAACTAGTGAACTTAATGAAATGAAACAAAACCTGGGGTGTAGGGAAGCGTAGCAACCTTATAAAGGCCCTTGCGGTAGTACACATCAATGGAATTAATCCCGATGGCCTCATTCTTCACACGAATCTCGCCATCCTTTGGCTCCCCTACTTCCACATCTTCCCATTTCAACACCTAACATGATCACATGGCCAAAGTGAGAAAAACGATTGGGAATTATTGGCATAAACTAATAACCAAAGCAAAACTTTAACGAAATGGATATCGAATAATCAGCATCAAAGGAGTATAAATCGTTTTCGGGTCCAATTGCCGGCTAATGTGAACGATTATATAAGAAAAGCACTTGATATGGCACTATAAACTCTCTACCAGACAGTATAAATTGAAGCTTATCATCTATCAACAAGCATGCTCACTTCCAAATAAATTATCATAGCACAGATTAGAAGCAATTCTCAAATTCAACGAGTCAAAATTACAAACAATAAAAACAACTCAGAGGCTTCTTAATTAAATTGGGCTGATTCTGTTTTTCTCATACAAATCAAAGCACAACCCAGAATTCCAATTCGTAGACAATATATGTAGAGAGAGAGAGAGAGAGAGAGAGAGAGAGAGAAAGAGAGAGAGAGACCTCAGGGCCACCATGCTACTATCAGAGCTTAGGGTATACACAAAAATAATTTACGCTTTGCTACCATGCTGGTGCAATAGCAAGATCTTGCACACACTTTAAATGATGGGATATGTATATTAAAAAGTTAATAACTTAAAAAATAAAAAATTTCACCACTTACATAAAAACACGTGGTGTACCATCCGTTTTCCCATCACAACTAAAAATTTCACCATGAACTCAACCACCTGCACAACCCCGGGGAGTCCACCAATGATTCTAATTTACTCAGAGTTTTAATTTGCTAACGACTTAATTTATTTATTTATTAAAGGGTAATTAAAGAAAATCTAGTTGTGAAGTCCTTGTAGTTTGTATTGACCAGTATTGACGGATAAGAAGGGTAGTATGGTCAAAAAGGTGGCACTGAAGTGAGGCAGTTAGTATATTTGGAAGTTAGTTAGAACTAGAAAAATTGCCCGTGCTTCGCTACGAGTTTTGGAACTATTATGCACAACAGGCATGAATAATTTGCATAGAAAGGTGCACTACAAAGTATTAGTCAGCTCATGCAATACATACAAATTTTCAAGCTATTATCCACAACAGGCATGAATAAAGTGCACAAAAAAATATTAGTCAGCTCATTCATAACATACAAATTTTCAAGCTTTGAATTGCCTTGTTCGCAAGTCAGTATTCTGTTCTGTTTACAACCATTGAACTTATTATGTGAATCCAAAGTGGAAAAGCCAGGAAGACATTCACAAACCCAAATCAAACTCACCAAATCTGACATTAAAGAATAAATTATATAAAGTGACATATTGAAAGAAACTCAAAAGAGATTAGAAAGAAAAAGAGATTGCACCGGAGGAAGTGGGAAAGCGAGGAGAGACGCAGGTGTGTAGAGGTCAATGGAGAAAGCCACTGCCAAGAAACCCAAGCTTAAAGACGCCCTCTTTGATGCGACGGAGCAACATGCTAGGCAATACAGAAAGCAAATGGAACAAAACTTTAACCAAACAAAAGGAATAAGCAATTATTAAAATATTAGATACATTAGATGAAACAATTTAATAAAACTCCAGGAATTATTTGTTAAGACACATGAAATTCCCTATTTAAGATTCTAGATAGAATGGAAAAAACGTAATTGAACTAACGATTAAGAATTGAAGTTACTTTTGTTAACTTAATAACATTTATTTGCAGGGGATTGATATCGTTTATATTTTATTGCATCAATGTATATAGGGCTTGTCACTTTATAATGAGTTACACTATAGTCTCCTTCGATTTTACATGTATATATTTTGGTGAGAGATACAAATAAGGATAACTTGGTACGAAAACACAATACGACATCTTTTAACATAAAAAATTAAAAGCGAAAACAAAAATGGCAAAGATAAAAATCAAAATCCAATTAAATAATCGAAGAAAACAATAGAAATATCCATCAAGAATTAAAAAAAAATAAATTAAAAAAAGGGAATTATACCAAATCCTTGGACGAAGGCACAAATATAGCCCCGAAATCCTAGAAGAAGTAGATGGCTCCTTTTACCCCAAAAGCTCATAAGTGAAGAAACAAGACGACGACCCAGTTATTCGTTGGTAGTGATTTGCATCTGACCCATTTAGAAGACGATATGTGTGTCTCAATTGCTTCCCACCAATCCGACTCTTCAACTTCAAATTATTTAAGCATTTTTAAGCAAATCCAGAATGACACATCTTTCTCTAACAATAAAACGCAATTGCGTCTCTCTTTCTAGAAAATATAAAAAGTCTCAAATTCATGCACAGAGAGAGAGTACTTTAATTTTTTTTTTATATATAACATGAGATGTGGATAATATTATTTATCCAAACAAATATGTACAATTTTCTTTGTTAAGTTCTTCGATTTAAAAATCTCAATTTCACAAACATGGCAGAATTTTAATGATCTACAATATACAGAAAAACAGTATTATCCAGCATAGAATAGAGCAGAAGAAACTATAAAAAAATATCTAGCATTACATCTTAGGTGTATTTATGAAACACAGATTTGATGTGTGTGTGTGTAAGTAAATCTTTTAGGGTTGTCAATTGGCTAAAAAATATATTGGAAAATAATCAAAAGAAAACACTTTTAGTTGGTTATAAATATTTACCAAGGTCTGTTCAGCAATAAAACTCAGTTCATGTGGAATTGGGGGAAAGAAAAGGTTCAAAACTCTAATCATCCAAATAGAACCTATTATGATAAAAATGGTTCTTGAATAAGGTCAGCAGTGGTATTTGCAAAGAAACAACGATGTTATCTCTCAGTATCTAACTAGGCAATTTTCAAACTTTTTGTAATAATTTTTCAATTCTAACAGGTAATTCTCCACTTAATTGTTTAATCTTTTAATTGCTACAAGCCTACAAGTATATTGTCTTTCGAACATTCTAATTTTCCTTATGACCATAGCCCTTAATTATTGTTAAAAAAAGTATTGAAGAGTCATATTTTTCTATGACTCCGGCTGTAATGAAGATTTTACACAGTGGTCAGGATGGTAAATGTTTATAGGTATCTAACTTTATTCATATGTGTGTTCTTTCTCATTTACTTTTCTACTCATATGAACTTAAACTTTAAACTAAACCAATTTTAGGGTTTTACAACATTTCAAGCACACTCCTACAGTCGGGAATTCTCCCTATGTCTCTCCTCCTTTCTCTTCAATGTTTGATTGGTATTTTACTGTTAATAGGTTTTCCATTTTGGTTTTTGCCTCAATCACAGAGAGAGAGAGAGGGAGGGAGGGAGGGAGGGAGAGAGAGAGAGAGAGAGAGAGATGTCTTGCAAACAATCAATTGGTGTGCAATTTGTGAGGGAATTTGCTCCATTCTTTCTTTTGGTTATTTTACGTTTTTGGTAATTAAACCTTTTGTTTTACTTTGTCTTTTTTATTTTGTTATGTTCCTCTAATCCAGGAATTCGACCTATTAATATTTTTGTAAATTTTAATTATGTTTATAAGTGTTGGAAAGTGGATGCTACTTGCTATTGTTCATGGACTTTAGGAAGAAACTTGCATTTAAAATCTCATGTTGTTTGACAATTGCATGAATAACATTTAAATCATTACTTTACCCAAAGTGAAAACGAAAAACATTACAACTTTTTAGAGCGTGCATGGTAACGAAAAAGCTCATCGTTATACAATACATTTAAAATATATCTTGATAATTACAATGGAAGAAAAACTATCATAATACACCTTTAGGGATGTGTAGCGTCTGTGATGCAAAAATGCTTAACGTGCGTGCGGAGAGGCTAGTTCTTTATAAATTACTTTAGTCTAAAGTAAGATTTGAAATTGGCACTGTTTAAATGAACAGTGTTTGAATCCGAATTTTATTCTATTTAAGACCACGCCACTACTTTTCAGAGTGGCCTATGTGTTTGGGTCTAAATTTCAGTTTAATTACGATCATGCCATTGTCGGCTTCTGGTTTGGTATTGATGTGCTTTGGAAAAAAAAAACTATTTCTGCTGTGCTGAGAGAATAAACTCGTTTTTGCTACTTCACGTTTTCATTTTTTTTTATCCAAAACTGTGAAAATAAGCTGTTTTTAAGTGTTCATCAAACATATTTTTGAACTCAATTATTTTTTATACTCACTTTTCATAAAAGGAGTTCAGTACCAAACCAGTAGGTTTGGATATTTGAGCTTTTTTACGAAGCTGCCATTGGTTCGAATGACGGGAATGCCCGTTTAGGGTTAACATTGCACGGATGGGGGTAAAAGTTGGGTGGGCATTGTTGTCAGTTTGGGTTTGGGACAAGTTAGGATTGTATTCGGTGGGATCGACCGCTCAGTGTGGGATTTGGAGGGGAAGGCATGCGGCTTACAGAGAGGAGGAGAGATCCAGGTTTGTTTTTTTTCCCTTAAAATTTAGATTTTTTTTTCGCCATTTTATGTTTCGTTCAGATCCGGGTCCGTTTGGTTGCCGAGAAATTCACTTGAAATTTTTCGTTTTGTTGGGTTTCAATTTGTTATTTGGGGTCGCGTCTGGGATGAATTGCTTGCCGGCATTTGAATTCGGCTACTGGGATTGCGAAATTCTTCGATTCGAAGTATTGCTTGTCGGCATTTCATAGATCACATTATGCATTATGTTAGTGAATCGTGCTGAGAACATGTCAATCATATTTAGGTTCTGTGCAAGGAAGGGGACATATGAATCCTGCTCTTGATGATTCAATATGTCATCAAACATTACTTAGGCTTATAATTTCATACAGAAATCGAAAACCCATTTGGTGAGCCCTTGAGTCAGGGGCTACGCTAGAACATTTGGAATGAGAGTGGTCAAAGCCAATCATGTTTTTGTATTATTTTCGAGTTGAAAAATTAGGTTTTGCTTCATAAGAAGTTCAAATTACACTCTATTGGCTCTGAGACTTGGAAACTCAATATCTTTGTGATGTTAGATTAACATAGTTAAACAATATTTTCTTTTGATGGACATATCTAAATTTCTGTATTTGCACTGTAGGGATGTCTTATCTGGTGAAGTGTTCAATATCCTTCTGCTAACTGATTTAATAGGTTGAATTTGTATCCAAGGTTTTCTTCCAATATGGTCTGAACTATTTTGTTTAATTAACGAAAACAGGTCACTTCTCTCTATGGGGGTCCCTTAGAGTTTACGTTTATCGTGCAAAGCACAGAAGACCCTGCTTATCGGGCTGTATCTATGATACTATCAGAGCTTAAGGTATACGCAACAATAATCATGGTTTCTTTAATATAAGAAGAACATCCAGGACAAGTCATATATAATATACGCTTGGAAGCACAAGTTTAATGCATAACATTTTTTAGGTTACATGTGTTCCCAGAATGATCTGTTTTACGTTTAACTTCATTTCCTTGCAGGACGAGGTTGATGTTAAGATTGTTGTGGCTGGTATTTCAACAACCTGCAGTCAGAAAATTCACAACCAATTGGTATGTACCTGATTAAAATAATTTACGCTTTGCTACCATGCTGGTGCAATAGCAAGGTCTTGCACAGTTTAAGTGTTATCTTATCAAATCATTATGTACCTATAATTGTTCTATATGACGAGTTTCTTTTCTTTATGGAATACAGGAATATAAATTTATTACTAAGTCTTAATGGTGTAGGGTATATGTAAATGAATTCAATTAGAACTCACATTTTTGTTTCCTGTTTTGTAGCTGCCTTGATCATTAGTTGGTGATATTTGAGAGATTGGGTCATCTGGTTGTTTGGATTTAAGTGGGATTGAGGTTATAGTTGCCGCTTTTTGTGATTTGGGTCTGGGTTATGGTTAAGTTATTGCTATTTATTCTGGGTATTTGCTGAAATTTGTGTTCAATGAGTGTGAGTTCTGTAATTGGTTTGTGTTCGTTCATATAACCTTCTGTTCTTGGAATGTGATTTAGTTGTGGCTCTTTCATTTGATTCTTAATTCTTTATGATTCAGCATTAAGTTGATATTGATGATGAATTTTTCCTCGCGATTAATGCTTTCATTTTTAAATCTTAATAACTATACTTGCTTCTCTTGGGTGTATGTTTTGCCGGTCATGAAAAACTGTCGGCCAGTCTTTTTGCACCACTGTTTCGCACTCTTTCCGTGGCTATCATGTTTCTCTCTGACCTTATAAATTTTGCCTTCATTCACAGCAAAAAACCTTGCGCCAAGCAAACAGGCATAACCAATTCTGCCAGAATTGCTGGAGAATTCCACAACCAAGGTCATCGAGTACGGCCGGAAGCATGTTGAGGGTCAAGATGGCGATAGCACCGATGTTGGCAAGAGCGGCGACCCCTTTTCAAGGTACGGTCTTCACTGATTTGAAGTTTTAGTTTGTTTGTGATTTTTTTTCTTTTGGATTTGTAATTTATCCTTTTGTACCTGACAATTTGTGATCCAAAATATTTTTTGCGCGTTTTGATTTTCTTGTGAATTTATATGGGTATTTGAATCTCTGTCACGATCGGTTGTTGATCTTAGTTCTAACAATTTCACTGGTGCACTGCCTATTGTTCCCACCTCATTAGAATGGCTAGATCTTTCCAATTCATCATTTTCTGGATCTGTTTTCCACTTCTTCTGTGATAGGCCGGATGAAACAAAGCAACTTTATGTTCTTCATCTCGGGAACAATTTTCTCACTGGAAAAGTACCCGATTGTTGGATGAGTTGGAAATACTTGAGCTTCCTACATTTAGAAAACAACAACCTAACTGGGAATGTCCCAATGTCCATGGGATACTTACGAAGGCTGGAATCACTGCACTTGCGCAATAATCACCTGTACGAAGAATTGCCACATTCCCTGCAGAACTGTACCTCGTCAGAAAATGGGTTTTCCGGAAGCATGCCAATATGGATAGGGAAAAGCCTTTCATCGTTGTATGTTCTTAACCTTCGTTCAAATAAGTTTGAAGGAGATATTCCTAATGAAGTTTGTTATTTGAAAAGTCTCCAGATATTGGACCTCTCAGGAATGATACCGAGATGCTAATTTTTTAGAATCATTTTTGTCACTGTTTAGCATTGATTTTTCTGCTGTTCCAGAATCATTTGAAGTTCAAGAGAATGCCATCTTGGTAACGAAAGGGATAGAAATGGAATATAGCAACATTCTGGGATTCGTAAAAGGCATGGACCTTTCATGCAACTTTATGTATGGAGAGATCCCTGAAGAACTTACCGGCCTCCTCGCATTGCATTCACTCAATTTATCGAATAATCGCTTCACCGGAAGAATTCCTTCAAATATTGGTAATATGGCACAGTTAGAATCTCTCGATTTTTCCATGAACCAATTTGATGGTGAAATTCCTCCAAGCATGACGAATTTGACATTTCTGAGTCACTTAAACTTGGCCTACAACAATTTGACGGGACGAATTCCGGAAAGCACTCAACTGCAGAGCCTCAATCAGTCGAGCTTCGTCGGCAACGAACTATGCGGAGCTCTACTCAACAAGAATTGCAGCACGAATGGGGTGATACCGCCACCAACAGTTGAGCAAGACGGAGGAGGTGGATACCGTTTACTAGAAGATGGGTGGTTCTACGTGAGCTTAGGAGTTGGATTCTTCACGGGGTTTTGGATTGTGCTTGGTTCTTTGCTGGTAAACATGCCATGGAGCGTTCTTCTTTCACAGTTGCTGAATAGGATAGTGCTTAAAATGTATCATGTAATTGTTGAATATGTTTAGCTTTGTTTTGTACTTTGCGTTAGTTTGTTGGCATTCTCCTTGCTGTGACGAATATGCCAGTATGGTTGTGTTGTATGATTTTGTCAAATTTCGTCCTCTTGTTTCATTGTATTTTTCTTTCATGTTTGGCTTTAGAGGGGTTAGGTTTCATGTCCCCCCTCTCTTGTATCATTTTTGTTTTCGTTTCTAGAGGGGTAAGGTTTATGTCCCCCCTTCTTACTCAATATTGTTTTTCTCCTTTTCTTGGCATTATGAGAGGTAAAGTTTATGTTCTCCCTTGACTAGGTGTAACTTATTTTTTTCGTTATCAATAAATATCACCTGTACCATTGAGGTTTTCTTAAAAAACAAAAAATAGAAAAAATTATCCCATATAAAATTAAAAGACTTGTTTTCTGAACAAGTAACTCTTAATTCAGCAAAAGTAAACTGAATGACAAGAGAAATGTGTGAAAATGGTTTAGGGATAATTAATTATTAGCAAACTCACATTATTCACATTATTTCATGGTTGTATTTTTAATTATTTTTAATTTACAATTTTACCCCTAGATCTTTCTTTTGTTCTCTCTCTTCTCTCTCCCCTTCTTCGTAGTACTTCTCTCTCTCTCTCTCTCTCTCTCTCTCTCTCTCTCTCTCTCTCTCTCTCTCTCTCTCTCTTCTTCTTCGTACTAATTCACGTGACACTTCTCACTCTTCTACGAGAAAACCCAATTGCTATGTAGCTTTGAAATGCTTGTGGAGCAAGCAAAATCGTGACGACGGAGTTACCATGTTCCTATGTTATTAGAGGCACTCTTTGTCACAAAGCATTTGTATTGATGCCAATATACGCAAAGTTTACAAACTTGAAACATGGTACATTATGAAGCAACTTTGTTCCTAGAATAAATAAAATCGACTTGACATGTATCAATCTGTAGTTGCTTGACATGCTAAGCATAATGGTTAAGAACATATGTATGTTTAAATCTCTGAAAAGAACTTAATAAGGGCATATATTGCATGTACAAATGACCTAGAAACAAAGTTTTTCGCCAGGTAGAGAACCAACGCATTCCTATTTCTTCTTAGACTCTATCAGTTTATATTTGTAATTTGAATTCACTTGTAATCCGCTATACGTTTATACTATAACAGACTTTTCTTGTAATCTCTATATAATGAAGTCAAAACCTCACTCATCATCAATTGAGTTGAGCTTATGCAATCAATCTTTACAAACCCAGCTTAAATTCTTTCCATAGAGTATTGGAATCTTAATCAAGCGAATTATTAGAAATGGCGCGTTGAATTCACTTTTAAGGGAACCGGATCTAGCTTGCCTGATGACTACCCAAAACTCACCATGTGCCCACGAGTCTTCAACGTTGCTAGCGATCCCTGAAAACGATATCTATTGATAAGAATTTGTAGTCCAAAATAAATGTTATGTATCAGATAATGTCGAATGCCCTTAACCAACTGAGTTAGAAATCACTTGCATCGATTTTGGAGTTGGTCAAGCATGTATATGCAGCAACATTTGAGTAAATCATGACACACTTATAGAGATTATAAGAAAAGTAAAACTTATACCTCAAACGTATCCTTCCCTACGCTATAATAGACAACATCAACGGCATTGTCGAAAGTTATTTCTTTCACACGAGCGGCAAAGTCCTCTTCCTTATAGATTATGACATGGCGGCATCCATCCTCCTTGGCTTGAGCTGGCTTCTCTTGAGTTGATACGGTTCCTATGACAATGACACCAATGGCATTAGTTCACAGGCATATTTGTCCAGGTTCGACCTGTATAATTAACAACACGCGAGTCATATCTAATAACTTCAAGTAACAATTGCTTTTGAAAAGGGATGGCCAGTACGCGTGTTACAAATGCAATTGTAGAATGTAGCAATGTTATGATAATACGATTATTGACCCCTTAATTATAATTTGCTGTTAAGAATAATTTTAAAATTGTTCTTGCCACATTTATTTTCAAGGAAGATTAAAACGAGCAAATGCAGCTGCACAAGTATAAAACTACCACGGCGTAGTAGACACTAAACACTGAGCTGTGTCAGTCAAATTGCATATATTTTAACTATGATCATGATCATGAAGTATAGGTTAGCACAAAGAGTTTGTATATTGTGATTTAGGTGTGTATGATGACGTTGAAAGTCAGAACTTTTCACAGCCTTGCACTGTAGATCCGAAGACGCTTTTGGACAAGACCATGCAACCAACCTTGTTATGTATTTTCTTCTCATTTACTTGTCCTTTTTTTTTTTTGGGAGATTGAATGGTGGGATTTTCTGTTTTCCCTTTTGATTCTATTTTTAAAAATTTTGACCTTTCTCTGCCACTTCGTTGAAAAGTGAAAAGCTTTTGAAAATGTTGGGATTTTCTGTTCATTGAATATGCTGCCGATTTTGCTCCTGGCTTGTATACTTTCATTTTGACATACGCGTGTTGCCTATGAGGGTATTCAAGAGATTTTTCAGTGTGATTGTCACATGAAGTGGTACATCATATGTCGGTATATAAATGATTATGTGTTAAAAAGTCAATAACCTAAAAAATAAAATTTTCTACCACTTACATAAAAACACGTGATGTACCACCTGTGTTCCCGTCACAACTAAAAATTTGTCGAGGGTATTCCTCCTCTTCTCGACTCTTCAGCTTCACGGGTGGCACTCTTCGTCTTTCTACTTCTCCAGATTTCTTTCTCAAAAAACTAAAACAACACTTCTCTCGAGTTTGAATCCCAAAACCAAAATTCATCCAGTATATATATCCCAAGACGCAAAGGGACCAATTGACGATTAAATAAAATACTTTCGAATAAGATGATAGACTAAATGGATAAATTTTCAGTGTGATCGTTATACGGAGTGATACAATATGTGTTTTTATATAAATGGTGGAATATGTGTATTAAAAACTTAATAACTTAAAAAATAAAAATTTTCACCACTTATATAAAAACACATGATGTACCATCCGTGTTTCCCTCACAACTAAAAATTTCACCCTGAACTCAACCACCTGCACAACCCCGGCCAGTCCACCAATGACTCTAATTTACTCAAAGTTTTAATTTGCTAACGACTTAATTAGTTTATTTATTAAAGGGTAATTAAAGAAAATCTAGTTGTGAAGTCCTTGTAGTATGATCAAAAAGGTGGTGCAATTCTCTTTCTTTCTCTCTAAGTTTTCTGCTTTTCTTCAATTCTCTGTGCACTGTTATCATGGTATCAGAGCCGGCCGATCCTTGGTTTCAATTCCAATGTGCAAGTCTTCTTGATTGATTGAAGCTCGATGGTAGCTGCAAGTTCTCAGGGATTTCTGCTCAAGGGTTCAAGATTTTCATTCGTATCAGGTTCTTTGTTTGTGATTTCACAGTGCACACCATCTGTTTGCGTTATGTTCTAGTTGGAGAATGTTTGTTATTTTTCTGAAAAATTGAAGGCCCATAGCCATTGTTAGAAAATTGAAAGGCCGATAGCGATTGTTTGAGAGCATAAGAGGCCAATAGCCATTGTTTGATCAAGAGTTGTTGGTATTCATTCAGTTGTTTCATTGAAAAAGGCCGATAGCCAGTAGGGAAGAATCTGTGATAATGTATTTGGGGTTCAAGAACAAGTCTTGTTTGTCTGCAATATAAATTTCTGGATTAATATTCTCAATAATCTTGTTCAAATGGCGGAATCTATTGTTAGAATTGAAGGGTTACTTGGTATGCTTACAGTGAAGCTTCAAGATGATAATTTTGTAAAATGGATTTTTCAATTTCAATCTGTTTTCAGGGGGTATGATCTTTTCGATCATTTCACGGGCGAAGCTCCATGTCCTCCGAGATTTGTTATTGATAGAAAGTCTACAAGTGGATATGTTTTTCTTCTTGCTGCTGGTGCAATCTCATGGAAAAGCTCCAAGCAGAAGGTGAGTGCTTCTTCAACTATGGAGTCTGAGTTCATTGGTTGTTACACTGCCACCAAACAAAAATTTGGTTGAGGAATTTAATCATGGGATTGAAGGTTGTAGCCTCAGTTGAGAGACCTGTAACTATTTACTGTGACAACAAGGCTGCAGTCTTCTTTTCCAGAAACAACAAGAGGTCCATTGCTTGCAGATTAATGGACATTAAGTATTTGCATGTGAGGGATGAAGTTAGAAAAGGACTGATCAACATAGTTCATATTGGGACCGATTTTATGATAGCAGATCCAATGACTAAGGGCTTACCAGTGGGAGTGTTCAAGAAACACGTCTACAACATGGTGATGCGAGAGGATTTTGATTCTATTAATGAGTTGGAGTAGTAAACTCATTTCATTCTGTTAATAAGTGGGAGTAGTAAACCCACAGCTAGTTTTGTTATGTCTCTTCTCGTTTAATTGGATGCTTTCATAATGTTTGTTCTTATGTTATTTTATTGCAACAATATGAGCCATGCTTTTGTATAAGGCTCAGTTCAGGAGTTGAATTTTTTTTATCAACCTGAAAACTTGAATTATGTCAAGCAACATAGTGCTTATGGTATAGGAACTTGTAATCATAAAGTGCATATGTAGAAGAGATTACATACTGCATTTATGATTAAGTATTTGAAGCTATAAGTAACAGGTTGTTAAATGTTTAATTGCAGCTTTCGGGAACTTGTGATCGCCTTAGTCTTAGCTTATGTAATATCATCCTTCTTGGACGCTCAAGTGGGAGAATGTAAGATGTGATTGTCAAGAAGAATGAGTTCTTGTTCTCGACAAACTGATAGCTCAGTGTATGAGTTATCATGTCGAGGAAATTCCGATCCTACATCAAATACTGCCTAACAAAGAAAAAGTAATACCAAAAATTTAACCAAATGGATGACTTATGTGAAGGATTATATATGAAAGTTACTTGATGATATGTGCACACACACACATATATATATATATATATATTACATAGGCTGCTTAATCAAATTGGGCTAATTAATTTGATTTTTCAAACAAATTAAAGCACAACCCAGAATCCCAGTTCATAATGAGAGATAGAGAGAGAGTGAGAGACCACCAAGTTCATGGACTCAAATGGCTTTCACCAGCATTGCTGCTGTTCTTTTGGTAGGAAATAACTGGATATGATTCATTCTAGTTACACGTCACTCTAGTTACATTGGCACCTTTGCATGAACTCCACGTACTAGTATTCCAAGGCTCACTTTGCATCAAGGTTAAAAAATGGTATGGCTATTGCCATCACAAGCTGAGGCCTATACTTTCTCTCCAGGATTTTCTTGAAATGGTGTTTGATGTTTTTCGATATGTTGTTTGCCTTGATCAGATCATCGAGTTCTGCTTGGACATCATCGACACCTCTGATATGCTGTAGCATTTGCTTGGCTGTTTGGTGACCTGTGCTACGCTGGATTAGGCTGTTAGGTGTATCAGGAAGGAAAAATGCGCCCAGTGTTAGCATTGAGGCAGGGACTGCAGCCATGGCTAGGGAGATTCGCCACCCCCAACCACCTTTGATCTTCTCAGAGCCGTAGTTGATGAGGTTAGCTGATAATACGCCAATGCCAACACTAAATTGGAAGCCATTGTTAATTGCTCCTCTGTATTTTGGTGGTGCCATTTTCGAAAGGTACAATGGAACAGCCTGCACAACACAAACACAGATTACACAAGTACCAAGAAAAATAGAAGCATCGAATAGGGTATGCTTATATGATGTTGGGGGCAAAAAAGTACTACCTGATTTCCAAAACCAATACCAACTCCAAGCAACAAGCGGCCGAGGATGAGCATGTAGATGTTCATAGCTGCGCCGTTTAGAGCTGAGCCGGCAAGGATTGAAGGCTTGCGGCCGTAAGCCCTTGTGACCAAACTTGTAAAAAGGAAAGCTACAAGACCAGCTATGTAGAGTGAGGATGTGAAGGAGGTCAACAATTCACTGTCGAATTTACAGTAGTTGCTGATTTTGGTGCCTGATTTCATCTTACTGTTTACCTCAGGGAAGAATTTATTCAGAAACGGCTCCATTGAAGTCACGCCGCCTGAAATTCCAATGTCGTAGCCGAAAATTACACCTCCTATGGCTGCCAGCATGCAAGAGAGGATGACAAACGGCATCATCCTCCCGTTGTATTGCCCGGCTTTGCCTGCTATTTCTAACCCAACTGCCATTGCTTCTTCCAAGCTCACACACAAAGAGATATGAAGAGAGAACTCAAAGTTGTGATTTGTACTAAGAGAATGGAAATATAGTGAGAAGTCTTGCTCCATTTTCTGACAAATACGATATTTTAAACTACTGTAATCTAAGGAGAACGAATTCTTGGCCTAACCACATCTGCAAGAGCAGTCTTACTTGACTGGTATATTTCAACAAATGGTTTTGGACTTGTACGGAATATGTAGGCTGTGGTTGCAATCACTACCACTACCAGACAACTTCAGGCAGGACCATAAGCATTTGTCTGAACTCTGAAGAAAGTTAAGGGCCTGTTTGGCCACTCTTCAGCTGCCATTGCCTGGTTTAAGAAACCCTTTTGTACTTAATCACTCTTTTTTGCTGCTTTAATATCTGCTTTGCCGTTAATCGCAAGCACTTAAACTTGTCAACCGCTTCCACCCGTTGGTACCCTGCCGGAGCTACTTGGTATGTTAGTCCGGATGCCACCGGAAGTGGCGGTGTAATGCATGATTAATGTATACATGTTTTGTAATTTTTGGTTTACAGATAATACAGTATTGCTACTTAATTATTAATATTAATAGCATATGCTAAACTAATTAATTATTGTCATATTATACAAAGTGATTTCAATAGCATATGCTATTAAACTAATTAATTATTAATATTAATAGCATATGCTAAACTAATTAATTATTTTTATTTATGGTAAGAGAGACTTGGAACTAATACAAAGAACAAAAATAAACAGAGAATATGCAGAAGGAGAAAACAAATGTGTGCGAAAATCGTTTCCTGAATTATTTTCAAGTGAATGGCATGAAAGCTAAAAAAGAGAGACTCCCAGAAACAATAGTGTGCGCCAGTCGGGCACCTTGGCATGCTTCCCACGTCACTCTAGTTACATTGGCACCCTACCACGTCTCTCTCACGTGATGAGAGAGACATACGTTATGTGGTATATACCCTGCTGTTTGACAGAAACAGTTTTGCCTTTCAGCAGAAATGCGAAAAATACAATTGCCTTTTTTGCTTGCTTAACAAGTCTGTCTGTCACTAAAGTTGGAGATAACATCATTGCATTTTGCAAACCAACTCATATTAATCTGTTCACAAAGAACAGCAGTTGAGGCAGAAATTTTAGGGTATAATAAGCACAGCCGAGCCGGATGTTTTCCTGTTCTCGAGGTCTGCATGAGCTTGTGCTGCGTGAGACAATGCGTATTTGTGATTTACTCGAACGCACAATACACTTGATGCAACATTAGCAAATACCTCTGCCGCAACCTCTAACAATTTGTCTCGAGCTGCAGTGTACTGGAACAGGGCCGGCCTGGTCAGGAAGACTGACTTTGCTGCAAGAGCTGATAGTGAGACCGGATCAATTGCACCTGATGCTTGTCCGAAACTCACCATGTATCCACGAGTCTTCAAGCTTGCCAATGATCCCTGCAAACAATGCCCCAATCAAGTACTAAATATATAATTCACCATCAAGAAATTAGACTAGCGAATCTTCTGAACTGAAAAAATCAAAGGGTAACTAGCATTTGCTTTAACAGTTTCATAAAACTAGCTCGAACGGAACAGTATAGAGATTTGGTATGCCTGGCCTAGCATTGAGAAACTTCAACGCTAGATTAGGTAATAAGTCATGGAAAAGCAGAAGCAGTAACAGGCTGTGTTGATACTCAATGAAACCAAGAACATCAAAGGAACGGTGCAGAAGGAGAACCTAGAATCATTTCTGTAAGTTCTGTATAAAATTGAGGGATGAAAAGTAAGATTTACCTGAAAGGTATCCTTCCCTACAGAATCATAGACAACATCAATGCCATTGTCAGATGTTATTTCTGTCACTCGAGCAACAAAATCCTCTTCCGTGTACACTATGACATGGCGACATCCATCATCCTTGGCCTGAGCTGTCTTCTCTTTAGTTGATACAGTTCCAATGACAATTGCACCAAGCGCATTAGCCCACTGGCATAAAAGGGATCCAACTCCACCAGCTGCTGCGTGAACAAGGACTGTGTGTCCTGGTTCGACCTCCATAGTAGCACAAAATTCAGATCAAACAACAAAAGCAGCAGCATTGAAATTTATAAACAACTTCTAACACAGAATCAACTATGTTAAGATAATGAAATTTCACATTCAGGAAGCATTTAGTTACAACTTGACCACCAATATTTGTCAGTTGACTGTACTTTTCGACACATAAATCACATAGTTAACAAAACAGAAAATCGTAACAACCTTGAAAGACTGGCGTAGTAGAACCTGCGCTGTCATACCCTTAAGCAATATGGATGCTGCAACAATAGGATCAATTGAAGGAGGAACGGGCACCACTTTGTTTTCAGGAAGAATCTGCTCTTCCGCATATGACCCCATCGGAGTGCCAACATAGGCCACCAGATCTCCAACTCGCCTGCCTGTTACTCCAGGTCCTACGACTGTCACAACTCCACAAGCTTCCATACCTGAAATGAAAATTGATTTGTTAATGAATAGGGTTTATCCGTCTGCCTTCTGATCAGGAACTGGAAGGACAAAAGAAGGCTGGACTCCAAGTTGTTGAAGAATAGTGACGTTGAGTTTTTCGACCATTTCTCTTAGGATTAGTCAGTTCTATTTCAAACAGCAGGAATGGCTAATCTGGTTTCATGCCCGGCATTCTTTTAGGTTTGAAAAATCATTCTTGATCATATCTGAAAACTGTAATCTCACGCAAAATGTTTACGCAAGAAACTGTTAAGAAAAAACTAAACTTGGAAATTATGCCTTCAAAGAGTGGACTAGATGTCAATCCTTCCCACATTTCAGAACTTGGAAATGAAGCAAAACCTGGGGAGAAGGGCATTGTATCAGCCTTATAATAAAGTCCTTTGCGGAAGTATACATCGATGAAATTAACCCCTATCGCCTTGTTCTTCACACAAACCTCCCCCTCATTCGGCTCTCCTATTTCCACATCTTCCCATTTCAAGACCTAGCAGCATTACATCACAAAATTAAGTGAAATGGGGATAAAAGCATTGGAAATTTGGAATAATGACATGTAGCTGAACCAGATTGCAGATCAAAGAAAAATACAATAAAAGTTTACGAACTCAAATACTTCAAGGCCTCGCTGGATGTCTATGATTGAACTGGATTGAAAAATCGCTTAGATTCATTAAATGTATGTCAATGATGGGAAGGCAGGAGAAAGATTAGTCACGAAGAACATTCCAATCGCCAAAGAAATGGTAGGATTGGAAGCGATAAGCTTACTTCATGACTTCCATTTCTTCCTTCGGCATTGAACTAACCTTCTCCGGATTAGTCCGATGAATATAATGGCATAAGAAATCATGTACTCTTGGCTAAAAGCAGAAAGGCTATCACTTTCAGCCTGTTACCAGATTTCCCATCAAACAACTTGGATTTATTGTAAACAGAAATAGTTTACAAATGAAATCAGGCACATAAGATTGCAACTGACGAACAAGTCTTGATTTTGTGATCACCAATTCAAACATTCAAGTTACCCAAAAAAATACAGGGGAGAGAGAGAGAGAGACCTGAGGACCACCAAGTTCATGAACTCGAATGGCTTTCACCATCTTTGTTGGCGATACTGCTTGATTTCTGGGTATTTTCCGGTCAAAAGTGTGATTTCTAGGTAATTATCCCTTAATAATTGGCCCAACTCTTGTCAATATAAAGGGTAAAGTGATACTATCATGTTTAACTTTTTAGTGTAAAAATATGTGTTTTCGTTAAAGTGAACAGGGGTGGGCTTTTCGTTAAAATTCCCTATTTTTTTAGTCTATGTCTCGCACACGGGATTTGGATCCTCGCCGGATCCCCTCCCTAGGGATCCTAGGGATCAAGGAACACGGACTGTTGATCAAAAATCGTGCGGTTACAATTTTTTCCTTTTTATATTTTCATGAAAAACGAGGCTTTTTTACTTTTAAAAATATAAAAAATATTTAATTGGGACCACACGATTTTTTATCAATAGTCCATGTGTGTTGATCCCTAAGATCCCTAGAGACGGGATCCGTTGATGATCCAAATCCTTGTACACACACCTGAAATCATAGATTGTAATGATTTTAATACTCATTTCATGTTAAATAAACTGGTAATTATAAGCACATTAAAACTATAAATTTTGATTACAAACAACACAAATTGAATATCTAATGTTGTTTTTTTTTTCCTTAACAAAGGATATTAATATTAAGGAGAGATGGTGAGTTTAGCCTCTGGGCTAGGAATAATGTGGTTTAAATTTGTTTTTGGTGAGAATCAAACCTAATATCTCTCACTTACAAGTAGAGATGAAATCATTAAACCGTAATATTAAGTGGCAATATCTAATGTTTTTAGATATGGATATTCTTTTGTTCAAAAAAAGATATGGATATTCTTTATTTATTTATTATTACATTGAGCAACAAATGTATATTTAATATAATATTTAAGCCCAAAACTGAAAAAATAAGTGAAAATTATAGTAGTGAGGTCCAAAACATTATCAAATGGATTCTACCTTCAAGAATCTCAATAAAAAGTCTCACCTTACTTTTCAAAACTACACAATGAGGTATAGGTGAAAATAAATTGAACGATGATTTAACTAGGTATGGGCAAGGATCGGTAGCGTGGTACTGATTTTTACTTTTCCAATTTATTTATTTGTTTTTTGTTTTTTTGTTTTTTCCTTTGAGTTTCTTATTTATATGTTACGTTATTTGAATAACCACTATTAAATTTAAATATTTTTAAATTTATGTTTTAAATTGTTGATTATAAATGTTTAAAAATGAATTATAATAGATTTTGCATGGAAAAATATATTCAAAGAACATGAATATGATAATTTGTTGTATGTTAAAAGAAATAAAAGAAACATTAGCAAAAAATATAAATAAATAAAAATTGAAAAGGGAGATTGTTATGATGTTAGCGATTCTTTCTCAAAGAAGTCGCTATCTGGATACCAACATTACTTGTGGACAATCGGTACCTAAGCAACGATCGTATCATTTTCTATTTTATTATTTATTTTTTGTTTTTTCCCTTCCTACATTACTTTATTTATATTCAAATACCTTTATATTTAATGTATATCCTTATTTTTCAGGCCCTGGCCCTCCTCGTTTTGTGTGCCTTATTTATCCGACGCCGAGCCCACCTCAGTTTGCACGATGGTCCCGCCTCGTTTTCGATGCATATAGCCTACCTCATTTACGGAGCCCTTCCTCACTTTCCGTGCGCCGAGGTACGCCTTGTTCTACGTGTGCAGAGTCCACCTTGTTTTGCGTTTGTCAAGCCCCCCTAACACCTAAGTTTTTTTTTTTTTTTTGTTAAAAATTCAAATTGTTTATTTTGGTAAAATATTTTCGGTGAGCATTAAGGAAAACTTGACAAGGCATATGGAAACAGTATTACGGTTTACTGAGCAATAAATATAGCATAACATCTAAGCCGAAAGCTAAAAAAATAAGTGAAAAAAATAGTAATGAGGTCCAAAACATTGTTAAAATGGAGACTCATAGAAACAATAAAAATGAGTGACATGAGAGAGAAGTCCTCTTCCGCCATCTTCTTAATTCTCATGAAGAATATGAACATGAATTATGAGACCACCCTCCCAACCACTTATCTTCATTGGCATCTGGGAGGCTTATCCATTTCAACTTGGCCAATTCTAAAAATGTAAATTATAGTTACCTGACTAGAATGCCTTAATTTATGGGGACTTGAGGGCACATAGTTTAAAAAAACCAGCTCTTGGAGCCCATGGTTTTCATGGCAAGGATTGTGTGTTCTCACATGTGCATGCTTCCCACGTCACTTGGTTACATTGGCACCCTCACATGAACTCCACGTACTAGAATTAGAGGGCTCAATGGCTCATACATTAAAGTAATTTTGTTTTTTTACTGTTTTTTTCTTCCTTCACACACATGTTACCAAAATATCTCTCTCAACTCCCACGCTCTCCTCACACAATTTTATCTAGCTTCTCTCTGTTCCATATATGTTTTCCCTCTTTTGAAATCTTTTATATTTACACACTGTGTGAGCTTCTCACTCAAAAAATAGTGTATGAGCTCATTAATATTTATTACCTAAAAAAAATTGGAGATGTAATACAGATACTCTAACCAACTAGTATTACGATTTAGTGATTTTCCTTTTTACTTGTAAGCGAGAAGTTTTAGCTTATGCTGAGTTCGGTGCCTAGTTAGTGGTTGGTCCATTGTATGGCCTAACCAAATCCCCAATCCCTTAGAATTACGTTGTATAAAAGAAATACCAAAACTGCAAAAGTTGTTGTCCCTTACACGAAAGTTCAAATCCCTCTCACCTAGATTTTAGTGATTTACAATATCGCCCGATTATAGTGATTTTCAAATCCCTCTCAAGAACAAGGATTTTAATTCTTCGGCTGGATCTAAAAGAGTTTACATATGATGTTCCAAAAGTTTTAGCTCAAAACTACTTTTAAGATAATACTTAGAAATCAGTAACAATGCAAAAAAGTTCAGCTCTTTTTATTGCTAGCTTAACAAGTTCATTTCTTGACGAGTACGGTAGGAGACATCCATCGCAATCGGATATCCTCATCAACCTGAAGCCCTTATTCGCTTTAGACTTAGGGGGTAAGCACAACAGATCCAGATGTTTTCCTGTTCTCCAGGTCTGCGTGTGCCTGTGCTGCTTCGGACAATGAGTAGGTGTGATTCACTCGAACCCGCAATGTACCCAATGCAACATTGGCAAATACCTCTCCTACAGTTTCTGACAATTCATCTCGAGTTATAGCGTAATGAAATAGGCTAGGCCGAGTCAAGAAGAGGGATTTTGCTGCAATAGCTGATAAGGGAACCGGATATGGCTCGTCTGATGACTGCCCAAAACTCACCATGAGTCCACGAGTCTTTAAGGTTGCCAGCGATCCCTGAAAACAATATCTATTGGTAAGAATTCATAGTCCAAAACAAATGTTATATATCAGATGAAGTCGAATGCTTTTAACCAACTGAGTTACAAGTCACTTGCGTCGATTTTGGAGTTGATCAAGCATATGTATGCAACAACATTTGAGTAAATCATGACACACTTATGGAGATAAATAAAAAAAGTAAAACTTATACGTCAAACGTATCCTTCCCTACGCCATCATAAACAACATCAACGCCATTGTCGAAAATTATTTCTTTCACACGAGCGACAAAGTCCTCTTCCTTATAGATTATGACATGGTGGCATCCATCCTCCTTGGCTTGAGCTGCTTTCTCTTGAGTTGATACGGTTCCTTACAGATTATGACATGGTGGTACTACAACCGTAACAACTCCACAAGCTTCCATACCTGAAATCATAAATTGCATGTTTTTTTGTTGTTAGTCAAAAATCATTAATTGTTAAGTCTATACTACTTATTAATAGATGAGTAATGTATTCTTACTACATTTTTGTACCATATTTTTATATGGGATGTGATATCTACATATCTTTTTTTACTTTTCACATACCCTTTTAATTTTCGACCGTCGGATCAGATGAATTGAATAAGATTAAAGGGCATAAATTAATAAGAGGTGTGTGAGAAGTAAAAAATGGTGGGTGGATAGTACACCCCTTTCATATTATCTTAGGTGACATCTGATGTGGACGACCACATTATTTGAATTAATCAGATTTTTAAATTTAGTTCATTATTTAATAAACTAATAGTTAAGAAAAACTAGTTAATTAAATGATGATTGTAGTATACGAAGAGTTTTTCTCTTTTCTTTTCTTGAGTTTTGCAAATTTTTCAAATAATGTGACTGTCCACATCAGATGCCACTGAAAATGGTATAGAAATATAGTATGAATAGTATTACTCTTAATAGATTATTCTTTATAAATTACTTTAGTCTAAAGTAAGGTTTGAAATTGGCAATATTTAAATGAACAGAACAGTGTTCGAACCCGAATTTTACTCTATTTACGACCATGCCACTGCTTTTCAGAGTGGTCTATGTGTTGGGTCCGAATTTCAGTTTAATTACGGTAATGCCACTGCTTTAAGGAGTGGGCTTTGTGGGTTTTGCGTTCGGTGGGATCGACTGCTCAGTGTGGGATTTGGTGAGGGGAAGGCATGCGGCTTACAGAGAGGAGGAGAGATAGAGGGGGAGGGGGGGGGGGGGGGGGGGAGAGAGAGAGAGAGAGAGAGGGATTCGGTGAGGGGAAGGCATGCGGCTTGCAGAGAGGAGGGAGGGAGGGAGGGAGGAGAAGACGAAAAACAACTGCAGCAAGTTCATGGACAGGGAGAGAGAGAGAGCGTTCTGCAGCCCGCTAGCAGTTTTTGTTCAGATCCAGGTTTGTTTTTTTCCCCTTAAAATTTAGTTTTTATTCGCCATTTTATGTTTCGTTCAGATCCGGGTCCGCTTGGCTACCGAGAAATTCAACTGAAAATTTTCTTGTCGTTGGGTTTTAATTTGTTATTTGGGGTCGCGTCTGGGATGAATTGCTTGCCGGCATTTGAATTCGGCTTCTGGGATTGCGAAATTCTTCGATTCGAAGTATTGCTTGTCGGCATTTCATAGATCACATTATGCATTATGTTAGTGAATCGTGCTGAGAACATGTCAATCATATTTAGGTTCTGTGCAAGGAAGGGGACATATGAATCCTGCTCTTGATGATTCAATATGTCATCAAACATTACTTAGGCTTCTAATTTCATACAGAAATCGAAAACCCATTTGGTGGGCCCTTGATTATGAGAGTGGTCAAAGCCAATCATGTTTTTGTATTATTTTCGAGTTGAAAAATTAGGTTTTGCTTCATAAGAAGTTCAAATTACACTCTATTGGCTCTGAGACTTGGAAACTCAATATCTTTGTGATGTTAGATTAACATAGTTAAACTATATTTCCTTTTGATGGACATATCTAAATTTCTGTATTTGCACTGTAGGGATGTCTTATCTGGTGAGGTGTTCAAAATCCTTCTGCTAACTTATTTAATAGGTTGAATTTGTATCCAAGGTTTTCCTCCAATATGGTCTAAACTATTTTGTTTAATTAACGAAAACAGGTCACTTCTCTCTATGGTGGTCCCTTAGAGTTTACGTTTATCGTGCAAAGCACAGAAGACCCTGCTTATCGGGCTGTATCTATGCTACTATCAGAGCTTAAGGTATACGCAACAATAATCATGGTTTCTTTAATATAAGAAGAACATCCAGGACAAGTCATATATAATATATGCTTGGAAGCACAAGTTTAATGCATAACATTTTTTTAGGTTACATGTGTTCCCAGAATGATCTGTTTTACGTTTAACTTCATTTCCTTGCAGGACGAGGTTGATGTTAAGATTGTTGTGGCTGGTATTTCAACAACCTGCGGTCAGAAAATTCACAACCAATTGGTATGTACCTGATTAAAATAATTTACGCTTTGCTACCATGCTGGTGCAATTGCAAGGTCTTGCACAGTTTAAGTGTTATCTTATCAAATCATTATGTACCTATAATTGTTCCATATGACGAGTTTCTTTTCTTTATGGAATACAGGAATATAAATTTATTACAATGTCTTAATGGTGTAGGGTATATGTAAATGAATTCAATTAGAACTCACATTTTTGTTTTCTGTTTTGTAGCTGCCTTGATCATTAGTTGGTGATATTTGAGAGATTGGGTCATCTGGTTGTTTGGATTTAAGTGGGATTGAGGTTATATTTGCCGCTTTTTGTGATTTGGGTCTGGGTTATGGTTAAGTTATTGCTATTTATTCTGGGTATTTGCTGAAATTTGTGTTCAATTAGTGTGAGTTTTGTAATTGGTTTGTGTTCGTTCATATAACCTTCTGTTCTTGGAATGTGATTTAGTTGTCGCTCTTTCATTTGATTCTTAATTCTTTATGATTCAGCACTAAGTTGATATTGATGATGAATTTTTTCTAGAGATTAATGCTTTCATGTTTAAATCTTAATAACTATACTTGCTTCTCTTGGGTGTATGTTTTGCCGGTCATGAAAAACTTTCGGCCAGTCTTTTTGCACCACTCTTTCGCACTCTTTTCCGTGGCTATCATGTTTCTCTCTGACCTTATAAATTTTGCCTTCATTCACAGCAAAAAACCTTGCGGCGAGCAAACAGGCACAACCAATTCTGCCAGAATTGCTGGAGAATTCCACAACCAAGGTCATCGAGTACGGCCGGAAGCATGTTGAGGGTCGAGATGGCGAAAGCACCAATGTTGGCAAGAGCTGCGACCCCTTTTCAAGGTACGGTCTTCACTGATTTGAAGTTTTATTTTGTTTGTGATTTTTTTTTTCTTTTGGATTTGTAATTTATCCTTTTGTACCTGACAATTTGTGATCCAAAATTTTTTTCGCGCGTTTTGATTTTCCTGTGAATTTATATGGGTTTAGATTTTTATTGTTAATTTACTGATGTTGGGGGATCATTTTGGCTTCTAGATTGGCTTGAACATTTTTCTGTCTTTGTTTTTTCCTTTGTGAAGTTTTAGTCAGATTGAAGTGTTCTTTTCAATTTGAGATTTAATTGAAGTGTTTAGGATTATCTACATATATATAATCAATGTTGAAATTTTAAACTAAATCACTATGCTGCAATCAAACCCACAGATTGTTGGGTCCAAAAGAAGAAGAAGAAGAAGGAGTGAACAACATGAAATTGGCCTTGGGTAAGCTTCCACTCTCTTCTGTGTATGATCTCTTTGAGAAGTGATTTTGGTTTGTGCTTTCAAAAAAGATGATGGCAATTCCATATTTGGACTGAGAAAACAATATGCATGTATAATGAAGTGGAATTTTTCGTGGTATTATCAACATGCATGTTATAAAGAATTCTTCATTTAATTTTTGGGTTGTGTGTTTTGTGCTGTTTCATTCGTGACTTGTGTGTTTTGTTGTATCTGATTCCGGTATCTGATTCGAGCATACGTCATTGAAGAATGTTAATGAATTCAAACATGGGTTTTGGCGTGTTCTTGCTACAAAAGCCAAAGACATTCTCGACGATGATGATAATGGAGTTCAGGATTATGATTCATCCCGAACAACAAGGATGGATATGCTGTCTATGCCAACAAGGGGGTAAGGTGAGATATAGTTTTCGTCATGTCTTTATAGTAGCTTGGCATTTTCCAAGGACTTTTAATTGCTGCTGCATTGTTGAATACATTAAGAATGATCCGGTAAACCAGAGAGGGAGTCATCAGCTTATGGATCTGTTAACACATCCAATGTGTTGTAATCTTTTCGCTACTTAAACATGTTTAGACATCAACTCTAAAAAAAACTTTGGTCTGCTACTTTACTTATGTTGCTGTTGGTTTACTCCAACGATAATACCTAGCTAGGATAGCCTTTTCTTTATGTCTTAATTATTGATAGTGCTATCATCATGGCAGGCTATGTTGGAGCAAAAACTGTGCAGGCAAAGACATAAGAGTGATGGATTTTGGAATGAAATGCAGAGGATATCATTTTGTGCTGCTTAAGTAAAAGTTTCCTCCTCTGTTATATTTGTGTGTTGGATATTGTAGAAAATTAATATAAGTTGTATATTCATGATAACTGACTGATTAAGATTACTTGCAAGGGGTCTATATGCACAGGAGAGCTCAGCATGAGGGTGCTGTTGGTTTACCTTGCCTGGATGTGTTGCGTTGCGGGGTTGTTCAAGAAAAAAGGTTTTAAAGGATCCTTTGCAGATGCAGGATCTTCTGCTAAGGTTTGGGAATTCCTATTATTAAATGATAACATTGTAATCCGAGTGTAATTAGTTTAGGTTTTTTTTTTTTTTTTTTTTCCTGTGAAATGTTATTTACAATGTCAGAATGTTTCTTTGAATTCAGTTGCTAAGGTTTCTTTTTATAATTTCCCCTTTTAAGACATTTGCAGTTTTGTCCGGATTGTGTGAGCCGTTGCTTCAGCCAAAACAGGTGCTCTCTCCATTTTTCATCTCTTCCATACTCAAACCCTAGCCGCTTCACCTCTCTCTCCCACACATAAGCAAACTCCATTTGAAAGCCGTAGAATCCAAAGGTAAATCCCTTCGAACTCTTCGATTATCAACCAGATTTCAGACTGTTTTTGGGATATACACTGCTATTTCATATAGTGTTAGTTCAATAGTTTAATCCTAAGACCTAGCTCATGAGACATCAGAATTTCGATTGACTTAGCTTTTGTCCTATGCCTTTTTTGTAGGAACAACAGGGATTGTAGACTACACAAACTTGGAAGATATGAAGTACGCGGTAAGTCCTTTTACTTTCTCACTCCAGAGTCCAGACATTCATATTTTCTGTAACCTTCTATGGAGCATGGGTACTAGGTTGTTGAATATTGCTTTTTCAATATGTCGATGTGTCTGAAGCGTCTATAAGAATCTCAAACTTCATAAATAATTTCCATGCAGATCAAAAAGCTTGATGGCTCTGAGTTTTGAAATGCTTTTGACTGCCAATCTGTTCGCGTATGAATCTTACAAGTTGAAAATTTATTTTCTTTCCTCCTGTATTTTTGTTTATCTGTTGCTCTGTTGGGTTTTTTTCCAATAACTCAAAGGGCTGAAAGGTATTCCCTTTTCATATTCTTCTCTCCCAATTTCTTTAGGGTTAATTTCTATTTTCTTATGCTATTTGCAGTGGTGCTGTTTAGGGTTTAACTATTTGATTTCACAGATTCATTTCAGACACGGTAAATAGTTACATTTTAAATTCGTATTTCATAACTTGGTTGCTTGATTCTAATGTCGATTCGTTACAACAGAAGTGAACTTTTTCTTTCAATAATTTAATCTGATGCAACTCTGTTTTTGTTCTCTCATGTCTAGGTTGGTGAAGGACATGGGGAGAAGAGCACTTTTGAAATGGGTACGAAAGGAAATAAACTTGCTGAACTGCATTGGCATCTATTGTTCCGGTTTTTCTTTGACAAGTTAACTTGCTCTCTCTTTGCAGTAAGGTGCACAAATATGGGAAAAGCACGACAGGGGAAAGCTGGGATATTGTTGTGGATGAGGAGACCTATTACGAGTGAGTCTGGACTTGGTTCTGGTTCTGTCTGCATATAGTATGTTGAAGCAGTCAAAAGGATTTCAGGGGAACCAAATATAAATAATTTAGATTACATCTTCTGGTATTGCTCTTACTGTAAAAGTAATTTTGATCTTTCAATTTTTGATGAAGGGCTGAGCTGTGAATTAAACCTCGAGAAAGGCCACCTGGCGTCTACCCTGCCCTTGATTTTGGATCGTTGTCGCTTTCAGTTGATGAACCACCAGATGAATTTTCTCCAATATCGTGCGGCTCAAAAAAATTTGTATGTGTTTACGCGTATTTTTGAGCTCTGAATAATTCTAATCAAATTCCATTGCTCCTAAGCTTAATATATTTTTGTAGGTGTAGCATCTGCTTGGAAAAAGGTTTCAAGTTTAATGTCTGTATGTGTTATTACTCTTCACTGATTGTCAAGAACCAGGATTAAAGAAAAGCATCCTTTAAAGTTTGAAAAGCATCCTTTAAAGGTTATAAATTACAGGTGAAATGAAACTAGAAATATATAGTCTTATGATTTGTGTCTAAAAACATAATAAATGATATTACATCCATCCATGATAATAATAAGATTGTTATTTATGTGGTTATGAGTTTCACGTCTCTTTGATTAAACATTTTCTTTCGCACTCAGGGGTTCACCATGAACCACCTCTTTTTGATCAGCTATTATACTTGAATATGATTATCAATTATAAACATTTTCTTCGGTCATCAAATTATGTAGCAGTAGCCAAATATAAACATTTGAAATAACGTTGCTTAAAAGAGCGGCTTTAATCCAAACTCAATTCTTTTCGGGGGCATATTGTAGGTTGATTCACATTCATTCTGATTACTCGAGAAGTTCCATTTCTTGAAATAGCTTGCATCCTTATTGCTGGTCTGACAATCATTCTGTGGCTAATTGTGGTTGCATCCTAGCTAGCTACGAAGGGTCTTTAGTCTTAGCCACGACTTGTACGAAGGACTGTTCCCAGTTCCTGGTGGGGTTGTGAATATGACTCTACAGATGGCCTACGGATGGACTAGCTTCTTAAATGGCAGTATGTATAGTTCAACCCTTCTTATCATCTTTCAGTAAGAAAAATCAAAGCATTAATTATTCTGCATGAGTTTTCATGCATTCACCATCGTGTGAATACATCAGAGTTTTTGGCCAAAATTTCCACATAAAGTTTAGAGAGTTTTAATGAAATACTCCTGGTACTCGGTTTTAGCTACGACTTGTATGAAGGACTGTTCCCAGTTCCTGGTGGGGTTGTGAATATGACTGGTCTTAAAGTTCTGTCCCTACAGATGGACTAGCTACTTAAATGGCCGTATGTACAGTTCAACCCTTCTTATCATCTTTGAGCAAGAAAAATCAAAGCTTTAATTATTCTGCATGACTTTTCATGCATTCACCATCGTATGGAATACATCAGAGTTTCTGGCCAAATTTTCCACATAAAATTTACAGAGTTTTAACCAAATACTCTTGTACTTCATCATATAGCTACGACTTGTATGAAGGACTGTTCCCAGTTCCTGGTGGGGTTGTGAATATGACTGGTCTTAAAGTTCTGCCCCTACAGATGGACTAGCTACTTACATGGCCGTATGTACAGTTCAATCCTTCTTATCATCTTTGAGCAAGAAAAATCAAAGCTTTAATTATTCTGCATGACTTTTCATGCATTCACCATCGTATGGAATAAATCAGAGTTTTTGGCCAAATTTTCCACATAAAATTTAATCCTCTCAACTTCCTAACATTATCAAACATTAATTTAATCCTCTGAACAAATTAAAGAAAGATAGTTTTAAAGTTGAATCTGATCTGGAGATAAAGTTGACAAGTATTATTACACGGCAACTTGATGATGTTGCTGGTGATGTATCTGGATTGGCCGTGAAATGGTATGGAATTTGTTTATGGTTTTACCAACTACACAAACTGAGTCGTTTTTGCTCTTATCTGTGGGAGTTTTATGGGTTGTATCTGGTGTGCCTTGCCATGAATAGTGAAGGATCATTGCTCTTATCTGTGGGAGTTTTATGAGTTTTATGAGTTGGATCAAGCTGGCATATGATCTTTGAATATTATCATTCTAATTTTCTGAAGGTAAATAGAAAAATTGCATGTAAATCGAACAATGTTTCATAATCTTTTGTATGGTGGTACGATTGTTGATCCAAAGCCACAAGAACTTCGTTGGTCTAATCTTTTTTGCATGTAAATAGAAGTCTGATCTTTTGTGTGTATACAAGCAACAGTATCATTTAAATGCTTTTAAAATCCGCAACATCGCGTGGGCAATTGTTGCTAGTTATAACCAAATGTATGAAATTGAAATGTTATAGAAATGTTGTACGAGGTTACAATTGGAGAGATTTTTCAATGTGACCGGAACATGGGATGGTACATCATGTGTCACTATATAAATGATAGAACATGGGATGAAAAATTTTTTGTTACAATTGTACCAAAATTTAAAGAAGTAAATTGTAATTTACCCTTTTTACTTTCACTTGCACATTTACCTGTTTGACGCCTAGCTTAGGTGGGCGTATTATATCCCAGTAAAAATATCACATCCATCAAAAAAATTAATTTTTCATGTATATTAATACAATGTATTTGAAGGAGCGACGATTCCCAATTCCAAGTGGGGTCTTAAATTAACTTGTGTCTCTATAGATGTGGACTAGCTAGTCCTAAATAGCCGCTTATTTTAATCCATCTTATCATCTATGAAACTTTTGTCCAAGATTCCAAGAGTCCGTCCGACGACTGCTACTCTCATTGACGTGCACCGATTTGAAAATGCGGTCTCATGCCGTAGAGGATGGTTTAGAAAAGGTGAGGCTCCCTAGTATATATAGGTAGCACTACTCTGGATCCTTCATTGCTCATACACATCACCTGCTTCATTCACTTGAACTTTATGGAGAGAACCATGAGAGTTGTTACACTGCTAATCAGGTTTCTAGCCATTGCAACCATTACTTTCAGTATTGGTTTATGCAATGGAAATCCCGGTTGGCCTCCACTTTGCAAAGAAAGCGAAAGACAAGCACTTCTGATGTTCAAGCAAGATCTCAAGGACCCTGCCAATCGGCTTGCATCGTGGGTTGCAGAAGAAGATTCAGACTGTTGCAGTTGGACAGGAGTTGTCTGTGATCACATAACCGGCCATATCCATGAGCTGCACCTTAATAGTTCCGTCTCTGATTGGGAATTCCACTCTTTCTTCAGTGGTAAGATAAATCCTTCTTTGCTCAGTTTAAAGCATCTCAATTACTTGGACTTGAGTAGAAATAATTTCAGTACAACACGAATTCCCAGTTTCTTTGGTTCTATGACAAGTTTAACACACCTTAATCTTGCATCCTCATGGTTTGATGGAGTAATTCCTCATAAACTAGGAAATCTCTCCAGTCTACACTATCTCAATCTCAGTAATTATAATCTGAAGGTTGAAAACCTTCGGTGGATTTCTGGTCTTTCTCTGCTGAAACACTTGGACTTGAGCCATGTAGATCTTAGCAAAGCATCTGACTGGTTGCAAGTTACAAACATGCTCCCTTCTTTGGTAGAGTTAGATATGTCCTTTTGTGAACTTGATCAAATTCCCCATCTACCCACCACAAATTTTACTTCCCTGGTCGTCCTTGATCTTTCTCTCAACAAGTTTAATTCTTTGATGCCGAGGTGGGTTTTCAGTCTTAAAAATCTAGTTTCTCTTGATCTCAGTTATTGTGGTTTCCAAGGTCCAATTCCTAGCATTTCACAGAATATCACATCTTTGAGGGAAATTGATTTGTCATCCAATTCTATTAGTCTTGATCCGATTCCCAATTCTATTCAGAATATGACCGGTCTTAAAGTCCTTAATCTTGGGTGGAACAACTTCAATTCTACCATACCTGAATGGTTGTATAGCTTGAACAATCTCGAGTCCTTACTTCTTTCTTACAATGAATTACGCGGTGAAATATCGAGTTCCATTGGAAACATGACATCCCTTGTCAATCTTCACTTGGATGGCAATCGGTTGGAAGGGAAAATACCAAATTCTTTGGGGCATCTTTGTAAGTTGAAAGTTCTTGATCTGTCAGAGAACCATTTCACGGTTCAAAGACCATCCGAAATCTTTGAAAGTTTGTCTAGATGTGGTCCAGATGGAATAAAGTCATTGTCGTTGGGGAATACTACTATATCAGGTCCCATTCCAATGTCACTAGGAAATCTGTCAAACTTGGAAAATTTGGACATATCTAGAAATCAGTTTAATGGAACTTTCACAGAAGTTATTGGTCAACTCAAAATGCTAACGGATTTGGATATATCTTATAATTCGTTAGAAGGTGCAGTGTCGGAAGTTTCTTTTAGCAACCTTACAAAGTTGAAGCATTTCATTGCAAAAGGAAACTCACTTACTCTGAAAACTAGTCGAGATTGGGTTCCTCCTTTTCAACTTGAAATTTTGCGGCTGGATTCCTGGCATTTGGGGCCTGAATGGCCGATGTGGTTGCGGACACAAACGCAATTAAAAGAACTAAGCTTGTCTGGTACAGGAATTTCAAGTACTATTCCAACTTGGTTTTGGAACTTGACTTCCCAAGTAGAGTATTTGAATTTCTCTCACAATCAGT